GTGCGGCTGTCTGTTCGGCAACGCAGTCGGCTTGTATCCAAGGTGGGATAAAAGCTGGAGAGCCGTCATGAGGGGAGCTTGGTGGCCGCGCCGAGGACGTGATTGGATCAAAAAATTTGGAGGAAGCCTCCCTGGGGCCCCCATTGAATGGAGCCAAGGAGTCATGGCCCCCGTCTTGCGTGTCTCTGGTCTGTGCGTGCGTGTGGAGGCGGATACTCTAGACACCTAGGGTCCGCTTCATCTCTTGTTTGTTTGCGGGGTTTGTTAGGAGATTTCACGCAGCCACCATCTCCTCACCTGGGGTAATAGATGGCAGCTGAGATCCCATGCTGCTAGCATCGCGAAACTATCGAGAACGCGAGGACTCGGCAGAGATATGCGGCTGTCTGTGTTGGGTGGAAGGGTACCAGGATGTGGCGGATCTGCGTGTGACCCAGGATGGACACTCGAAACGACAACAAAGGCCGAACGCTGGAAACTGTTCCGTTACATCGCATTGGCCAGATACCGGTTCTGCATGCATGTTTGCGTGGATTGCAGTGGTCTAACCGTGGTAAAACAGACACAGTCGTGGATTCGTGTTACATTGCAGCCGTCCGCGACCAGCAATGCTACCCCAAGTGTCGATAATGCACAGCCAGAGCGTCGCGACAAGGTGAATCGGGGCAGTCGGGCCTACAGCTCGTTTGGGCGCGTGCCGTACGCCCGGCGGTCTGCCAAGCCCATTCGTCGATGAAGCCGATGCAGTATGCAGTCAACATCCGCGTCGAGCAGTCTGGGTCTTGCGCTGGGTCTCTCTGGGTTGGTGGCATGGGTCTGCTGAGCCTGGAGCGGGAGTTCTCCTCTTTGCGTGGTCCGCTTCGGGCGGAACCAACCTTCCGTGACGTAGAGCATTGATGGGCACTGGTCGATGTCGATGCCGTGTGCCACTGCCTATAGTCTGGATAAATATATCCAAGGGATCGGGCGTGGGTGGGATGGATGATGAATGAAGGGAAGATGGAGCATTCCGCATTCCTCATGCATCCGTACTAGGTAGGAGGTAGGCGCCTGCCTGGGTTGTGATAGCTCGAGTGCGAAAAGGAAAGAGATGGTCATGTTTTGTGGGTACATGCAGAAACGCGGTGGGCGCACCCAAAGCAAAGTACCTCAGAGTACCTACATACATTAGTAGGTTAGAGGTAGTACGCGCAACACACTGCCGGTCTCGCATAATGGATGTGCCACACCAACACCAGAACACCACGGGAGTATCGATGGTTATGTATTTTCTTTTGGGCCCCTAGTTCAATCGCCAGTTGGAGCACTTCTTTATCGTGAAGAATCAGCTGCTTCTAGATTGCTCTCGACTGACCGCCCCTGCCTCACACGCCACTCGTAGGTAATGCTTGGAAATAGCGGCGTGCTGATTGGTCAGTCAGCTGCGCTACACATCGCCGTTGCCCGCGACCAGCGCCTGAAGCCCACTAAACGGTGCCTCTGGCTCAGTGACGAAACCTTTAACCAGCGGCTTCACCATGTATAAGAATGCCGTCATTCCAACTTGCAACATCAGCATCAACATCATCTCACAGCCCATCCTCGTTATCCATTCTCGAAACGCGCAACATCAATCGCCCCTCCAATCACTACATCCTCACGTCACAATGACCGTCACCAAGGCTTCTACCTGCTGCGCCAAGGGCAACGCCGAGTGCGCCTGTGGTAAGCTCCAGCACCCACTTTACGTATCGACACAATAGCTGACCACCCATAGCCAAGCAAGCTACCTGCTCATGCGGCAAGCAATCGGCCCTCCACTGCACGTGCTCCAAGGCCACGGCCGAAAACGACGTGACGGGCCCACGATGCTCGTGCCGTGCTCGTCCGGCCGGCGAGTGCACCTGCGACCGGGCTGCCACTGAGAATGCTACCGTCTCCGGCTCAACCTGCCAGTGCGGCGCCCGTCCTGCAGGTCAGTCAACAGTTATCTCTAGGCTACATTAATGCCTCAGCCCCCCCATTGCCCTACTTTCGCTGACACTCTGGCTGCAGATGCCTGCACGTGCGAAAAGGCTGCCGACGGCGGCTTTAACCCGGCCAATGAAATCGACTTTACCACCTCCAAGTAAACGACCCATCACGGCCTCGACAGAGACCCCTGGTGATTTGTGTATTTTATGTAATCGACATCAAGGAGTTTGGTGACTGGTCATGATGAGACTGGCATTGCAGGAGCAGGATTGGGCTCGGAGCATAGATACCAGACCTTTCAAGGAATTTGGAATTACCCGCATTGCAACCCTCTTGGTGTTAACCTTTGAAGCTTCTGATCAGCGGGATTGTGCAATTCGAGCATATGTAGAGTAGGACCTAGTACTACGCTGCTCACTTCGACCCCAAGTTCTGCCTCTGACATACTCGCTTATGGCGGTGATTCTTGCATCGCTTCACAAGCGGGATAATCAGATCATTTACAAGTTGGTGTCATGGCATGGGAATGTGATAAGGATGCTTATATAAGGGTATGACTTATCGGAATCGATAAGGTATATGACGTGGCCATATACATGATAATGCATCAATGTACGGAGTACCTAAGTACTAATTATTGTACCCGGTTTGCTTTCTTACGTAACTGCAGAGTGCTAAAACAAAACGCGCTCTCATTTTCCTGCTTCACGCTTCTAGGTCTCTGATTAAGGTCAACAGTTTCTTCAACCCGATTTATAGGTACTCACGCCTAAGGCCAAGGCCTTCAAGACCTAAGACAATGTTCAACCCAGAGGCACACGTTTGCACGGGCTGTGGTCGGGTAGGCCAACTACGCAAGTTCTGTCCTCGTTGCCCCAACAGATTAGCAGGAAACCCGACGACTCTCGACAAAGTTTTCTCGCGAAGGCAGCAGCAACTTTGATCCAGTCACCCGCCAAAGCCATCGGCAGATCGAGTCACCGGAAGCCATTTTGCAGTCATCGAAAACCTTGATATCGCATCATCGTCTCAATCAAGCCCCCCGGAACAAGCCGTCTCGCGCAGACCCGACTGCCTCACTCGCCAAAGCCTCATCCAGGCCCAACAGCATCACTCGCCGAAGCCACATTGTACGTATGGACCCTGTGGCGGAAGCCATCTCTGTGCATTGTGTGTGCTAATGCAGAAAGGCAGCAGCTCTGATCGAGTCACCAGGCAGAAGCCTTCTCGTATGTTTAGGCGCCTGACGCCACGGCGGCATCGCGACGGAAGCTTCCGGCCAATTGCGGTGGCTGGAAAACTTTGACATCAGCTCCTCGAAGTCACTGGTCTGTATCCCATTGGGGCACACGAACGGGAAATCCCACATTACAGACCCTCACTGGGACGAGTGAGGGCCGAAGGCTACCAGCAGCCGCCACAAGATGCGTCACAGCCACGACAAGGTGTTTCACAACCACGACAAGGTGTTTCACAACCACCTCCTTCTGCTAGACAACGAGAAGAAGAGGAAATTTGCTTAACACTACCATCGCCCCAGCATGATGATACTGAGTGGTGTCTTCTCGACGACGACATCCGCAACGTAAGACTGCATTCCACCAAACTTCCTCTTCTGTTTCTAATGAGGCTCAATAGAAACATCTCCCCTTCCCGGAAGTGATTTTCCCTGGACTGATGACCGAATGTATATCGATGCTCGACAATGTTGTTCGCCAAGAGCTCCCTGGTTTAGAGTCTTTCGATTACGCAGCCACTATCGCCTCTCATGGGGGCGTCCAGCAGGTCGCTGCTGGTTTGGTTGAAATGATCAGGCCGGAAATTCGCCTACTGGAAGGACAGCGCATCACTCCTGAAGTACTTCTCGAGGTTTCAGCACAGCAAACTCACCGGTGGCCTCGGTTCGGAGGGTACATGAGTGCCATCACCGATGATCGCAAGAGTGATTATCTTCGGCTGTATGTTGGGCAGTCGAAGACATTATGTCGACGGATACTTCGAGGGCACACGCAAGAGATTTTACGAAGCAGCTATAGCACGCTGCATTATTTCATCATATGGCTAGGCAATGGCCACAGGACTGCGAACTTCTCGCTTCTATGGTCCGCGCCACCAGATTCCATATGGGATGACTGGTTGAGTCTTCAGTTCAACCTATTAGAAGCGCTCTTCTGCAGAGCATTTCAGACACATCATGGCTGTTTGTCCCCAGAAGCAGATCGTCGTCCAGGCATGGGGTTAAACATCATCTCACCATTGCTCCAGGGGCGCATCATGTCTGAGGTACAGAAGCTTCAGCAGGTAGGGCAAGTCTCATCCTCGTCCGACCCGCAAATTGCCAAGTGGGTTTCATTCCGTGCACAGAAACGATCCAAAGGAGCAACAGCTACCAATACGCTGGATAGTAATATTCGCATTTGGTTGGCAAGGCACTGCTATAAGGTTATTGGGGCTTGGGATGAGACCTGGGCGAAGAAACAACAAGCAGAGCAGCAACATGATCAACTAGATCCAGCCACTGGCAAGAACGAGCATCATGAACAGCCAGAAACTTTTGACTCGCCGGGCCCGCTGCTGCCTCTCAGCCATGAGGAGGAGCGGATTTTCTCGGAGATCAAGGCACTTCGACGAGTGTATTTTCTAACCAATTGTTATCTATTGATCTGATATTGTCTTTATCGTCAGAGGGGGCCTCCTCGAAGTCACTGGTCTGTATCCCATTGGGGCACACGAACGGGAAATCCCACATGCTATGCATTAACGTCCATTTAATGTTATTTGCGCGAGCGCCCCTGCGGGGGGGACTCCGGGAGTCGGGATAATCAAAGATAAACCAAGAAGGCATCAAGAAAAGAGAACGCTGCGTACAGCATTGGGGAGCGTGGGCAAGCAAAGGAGCTCGCAACGAGAGTTCGTGGCCAGGCTGAAGGTGAATACCGCCCAAGGGAGCGGGTCGCATTGTCTAGAGACGCACAGCCTTAGTCTAATTCTTCACACGACCAAAAATTGGCAGGACGAAGCAAAAAGTTATAGCTCTGCTAGAAAATTGACAAGGACGGGATTTGAACCCGCGCAGGTTGCCCTAACGGAAAAATCCCTGTTATAGATAACAGTTAAGATGGAAATCTTGAGTCCGTCGCCTTAACCACTCGGCCACCTTGCCTCATTGTTGAGGAGAGAGGAATCTATTCTGGTATATAAAAGGAGAAAAGAAAAAGAAAACCCGATCACAAAAAGCATTGGCGGGCGGGTCTTCATATCCAAGCCCACGGCATTGAAGGGCTTACCCGCCAAGCGCACTCGCCACCACAAGCTGAAAGACGCTCAAGGAATGCAGGTTGCTAAACGAGGGCAAGCTTCCATGAAGAAATCCTTGTCGCCCTCGGGATGATCCGCGGATGTTGACAGCTTGGAAGCGAAGCGGTGGCACACTTGGTGGTTGGAGATAGGGGCACATGCCATCCCGATGTTACTGATGCATTGGTCGAACAAGGGCTCAAAGACAATGGCCTCGTCTTCCATCTCGACAAAGGCCATCAAGGCGCTCAGGATGCCCTCGTTGGCACCTGTGGTGATTGTCACTTCCGTGTCGGCATCTATGGGCCTTCCGAGACGATGCGTGTATTGCTCAGCGACCGCCTTCTTGAGGCTAGGCTTGCCCTTGGCCGGCGCATACTGGTTGCATTCGACCTTGAGCAATGCTTCCCTGGAGGAATTGATGATGAAATCTGGAGGATTGTATTCGAAAAAGCCCTGGCCCATATTGACAATGGGCTGAACCGGGGACGTCCTTGTAAGATATCCAGACCACTATGCGGGAAGCAAAGTCGGAGATGAACCAATCCCCGCCATCCGTCAGGCTCTGCGCATCTCCGCCATTGCTACCATTGTGAGCGTGCCCTTACCGCGTGCTAGAGTCCGAATGAACACTGGATGGCTACGCGGACTTTCGACAAGTTGGGGATGGCCCAACACAAGACAATCGTCGCATGATACAAAGGGATTACACGGGCAAGGTAGTGATGAGCCTGTCGACCGTGGCTAAATACCTGGTTATTTAGACAGATGAAACAGGGAATGAGATTGAATTCCGGCAGAAAATCTCTATCAGAGTCTGTGTGCTTTTTCTACCAGCTCACATGCTCAACTGGGCACTGACGTAGGACAAGATACGCGACCTACTGTGTCGACGACTGTGCCTCTGATTGTGCGTGACTTGTCCCTGCCCTTCATTTTGGGACCGCTGTGTGGGCGGTGACCTAATTGGGTTTCAGACTAATCACATGATAATAAGTATGCATTCTGCACCTCTGTTCTTTGGTCCTGTGGGTAGCAAGGCCACTCCCCGTATTGTTCGCATATATTGTTCTTTTTTCCACTGCACGCACCTGCTCCATCATGCATTCGGCACTTCCTTTTGGCATCCAATTTTAGTATTATGATTAAATATAAATATAAAATAATAAGCGTTCAATATACTTTTCCACATAAGCTACTATCCTAGGCCTTAAGCTACAATCTGGTTTATTGCATACCAAGCACAGGACGCATCAATATCACACACATTGACACTATTCCCAAACGTTTCTTTCCTGTCCAATTGACCATCTCTTGGAAGAGCACCCTTACAGTTAGCTGTTAGTCCATCTGCCACAACCCTAGCAAAACAGCCTTCCGTTTGCGTCCTTCATTATAAAGCCAGAAACCCCAAACCTGTCAGGTCTGTTCCCAGCCTTGTCCAGGGTAGTCAGCGGCGCTGGGGCCCCAGCCTGCGGGTTATTACCAGCCTGCAGGGGCAGGAAGCCCTTGCTTGTCTGAAGGTTGTAGGCGAGAGTCACGCCGGGGGGTAGATTGGGGCTGCTGTACAGGGTGCAGGACCGCCTGCCACCGTCCCCGGGCATGAAGGTATGCTTCCACACCCAGTTGGTGCACGTGTTTGACTGCTCCAGGCACTTGGCGGCGCAATCGCAGGCTGTCCTGAAACCGTCCTTGAAGAAGAAGTGAAGCTCCGTGACGACGCCTGTGATATCGATCCCCTGGTAGTATCGGACGCAGCCGCCGGCGCCGTTGGGAGCCTGCAGGGTAGGGAAGCGGCCCTTGGTGATCCTGCCTCGGCAGATGGCCCAGTTGGAGTAGGTGTTAAATGGGGGGAAGATGTTCTGGTTTGGTCCAGGCGGAGCTCGGGGCTCTGCTGGACTAGCTATGGTGGCAGATGCTGCTAGGAGGAGAGCCAGAATAGTGGTGGTGAAACGCATCTTTACCGAGGTGGTCGCGTTGACTAAGATAGATAAGACAATTTCAAATGGTTGGTGCCTTCAGCTAGGAATATAACAGTTTGTCATTAACCTCGTAGCACTCATCAAGTCCAAGGGCAGGAGAGAAAACATCGTCCAACGTCCGCTATATATAGAGCTAGGTTGATCTCAGTGCCGTTTTTACCGCTCATATTGTAATACACCCTCGCGTCTGGATTTCCGACTGATGAAAAGACATATTGGCAGGATGACGTTACAATCTTGCGTGGCCATTCACTTCGTTGCCCCCGCATTATACGATATATCTTCGTATCCTTTATACGGATTGGAGACCACGCAAGCACCCTGTTGTCATTTAGTTCCATCGTGTAAACTATCAGAACTTTATACAAACCAAGACTCATTGCATCACGCGATGTCAATTAGCTCTACGTCAGTGATATGGTTTAATTGGTTGGCTAGGAAGGTTCTAATAGTCTAGAATCCGGATGGGAGTCATATCATACGACAGATAGCCCGTTAGCTAGACTGCCGGTCAGAGATATGTCAGACCGACCCAAGCGGCCGACAGAAGACAGCCAAGCGGCCGACAGAAGACAGCCAAGCGGCCGACGGAAGACAACCAAGCGGCCGACACCTACCATCGATTACTAGACACACGCCATAGCGTCTGACGAACTCATCATACTGGCCAGGCAACTTCTGTCGTTTGCTAACTCTAGGTATCCTTACCTAGTGGGGGTAGAGGTAGACTTAGATGATATAAGACAGATAGCCGGCCCTATGTCACAGCTATTAGTCGTCCACCCAGTCGAGTGGACGACAAGGAAACGGCAACGTGAGAACGGCCGTCTCAGACCTAGACGTGCTCCAGCACCTGGCAGACGAACAGACGATGCGAAGCAGCACGCTGGCCGAACTTACCTCACGATCCATGCCGCTCTCCAACCCCCAGATCCACTATCCCAAACGGAGGTCACGTCAGTTGCCACCCCAGTTGCGGAGGAAGGGAGGGCATTGGTGTGACTACCGCCTAGCGTTGGTCGCGCGCCTCACCACAGCAGCCCTCCCGGTTTTAATAGACGTAGAGCGTCCTTTTACATTAGTTATTTGGCATCGTGCCCTTGTCTAACTTCCCAGTTCTCTCTAGTAGCGATCATGCCATTTTCGATCCTTACTTCGCCGAGTTTGCCAATTTTCTTGACGGCGTTGGATTACCAGCCAAATGGAGTGGCCCCCAATGGTGCGACAGTTCTCGCTGTGCGATTGGACCAACAGTTGCCAGCCTGCATGACCACAGCCTCATCAACCCCTCATGTTTAGGCAGTATCAGCCTTACCGAAAGCAAATTCAGCATTGATGTTGACCAAACTTCGCTGTCGCGAACAATGACCCTTTGTAGGTCATGGGAATCTCAAAATTCTTCCAACGCTCGAAGGACTCCCGTCCTGGGGGCCGCAACTCGGACAAGCAAGGCGCCCGTGACAATCGACCCAGCCCGACACCCACTCTCCTCGAAGAAACAAGCTCCTCAGCAGCTGCTGTACCTCTCCAAGCTACAGAACCACCTGTTCCTGCGACGCCCGGCATTCTGAGTGCAACAGCGCATCCCATAACACCACCGTCAACAGAAGACGCACCTTCACTTTGGAACCGTGCTTATGAGGCACTACGCAATGAGGATCCTCAGCTGGTGGATCGATACGAGAAGCTTCTCTCCAGAGAACTGGAGGGCATGCCTCCGCAGGGCGATGGCCTAGATGATACTCAGAACCGAATCGATTCCAACCCTAACAAGCGCCATGGTCAGCTTAAGGAAATCACCTACAGAGGCCTGCAGCGAGCGGACGAGAAGCATATCAAATATACTCTCTTTGGTCACGACTTTGTTCTCAAGGATCAGGTCGCACAAGCCGGTCGGTTTATCCAGACTGTGAAAACTCTTGTCAACGAGGCTGTCAAGGTGTCGCCAGAGGCATCGCTCGCCTGGGCGGGTGTCTGTGTTCTGCTCCCAGTCTTGACAAACCCAAGTGCAGCAGAAGAAGCAAATCGCGATGGCTTGTCTTACGTCACCTCTCGCATACGATACTATACCGAGCTCGAACGTCTTCTTTGGCCGGAGAACCTCGTAAAGCCAGGGCTTAAGGAAGAGTTCGATGGTCATAGCGTTGAACTCTACCAGCACATCCTTGAGTTCCAGATCAAGACCGTGCTGCGCTTCTACCAGAGGTGGCTTGCTACTGCTAGTCGTGATGCGATTCGCTATGACGATTGGGAAGGAATGCTCTCCAAGATCAAGCAACTGGAGCAGATTGTTCGGGAAGAATCAAGCACTATCAACACAATTGCTTCGCAAAAAGCATTACAAGACATTGATATGGCGGCATCTCAACACTATAACGCCATGCAATCGCTACTCTCAATCGCAAAGGATCATCTGGGTGTCTCGATCGAACATCGCGACATTTCGACTGAGCAACTCGCAGAGCTTAAGCTCCAGAGGTTCGTCTCTCTTCGATCGGCTATAGATCCTTACTGATGGTTGTCAGCCAAATACTCGACAGCCGCCCTCTGGACCTTCCCGTCGCCCATGAAGCACGCTACGACAGTCTCGACGTCAAAGACAGCTCGAGATGTGAGAGCGGCACTCGTACTCGCATCCAGGAAAGGATTTGTCTCTGGGCAGACGATGACTCTGGCGAACCCCTCTTCTGGCTCGTTGGCCCAGCGGGGACTGGCAAATCCACCATTGCGCGTACAATCGCAGACTTGTTGGAAAATAAGAATCGACTCGCTGCTGGGTACTTTTTCAAGAGGGGAGAAGAGGGCCGTAACGGCACCTCGCGACTGTTTCCCACCCTGGCTTCGCAGCTGACTGAGACATTCCCTGCCTTTAAAGGCTGTCTGC